TCTCTGGGGACGGTCCTCCAAGAAGGATCGGAGCCAAGCAAGCGCTAGCCCACCTATCCCTAACTCAGAGAGCCTCCCCAGGAGGATACCGTGGTCAATGGTATCAAAGGCCGCTGAGATGTCAAGGAGGACCAACAGGGATATATTACCCCTATCGGCCTCCCTCAACAGGTCATCCATCAGTGCGACCAGTGCCGTTTCTGTGCATAGCGCGGCCTGAAGCCCGACTGGAATGGATCCAGAGCATTGGTTTTGTCCAAAAGCGCCTGAAGCTGATCTGCCACCACCCTCTCAACCACCTTGCTAAGGAAAGAAACGTTGGCGACGGGCCTATAATTTCCAATGTCGTCCATCGCCAAGTTTGGTTTCTTCCTAACACACACATACACATGTAACAACATAAAGAGAGCCTTACCAACTCAAATCAAGGCGCCATCTTAATACATAATTATGCTTCCACTACCCAGAGGCCCCTAGGGAAAAATTCATGAGGAACTATCCCTCATTATTTAACCTACAACTCTAGTATTCCGTTACATGTCTTGTTGCCTTTGAAACTGGAGATTCCATTCCTTTGTGATAGTCATGAGCCACTGATGCAGTTCTCGTCCAAGCAGTTGCCTAAAAAACCATCTGAAGCATATTCTGTCCTCAAAGCAGAATGAGGTGTCAGAGGCGGAAAAAATTGACTATGCCATTTGAGACTGCACAAGGGAAATCACATTTTTTTCATGAGTCTTCATGGGCAGGCTTGAAGTGATATCTCACAGCCTTCTACAACCTCACTCTGATGAAAGTCTAGATATAGACTCAATGACCTCTCCTCCACCCTGTGGCCTGAAAGGCCACACGTTAATGAAATGTGTGAAGGACTATCTTGTTTGACTAGAACTTTCTGCTAATTAATTATTTATGTGCCTCCAAAGAGCACACAGAACATATCCAGAAAAGAATGTGACTGTGCCTTACTATAGATTACACAACAATTTCAAATTTAAAATATTTATCAGAGGGAGCTTGTTCTCCCATATGATTTCCAAGATCCATATCTTTTTTAACTGGCCAGTTATTTCAATTGCCATCCTTTTCAGATGACAGATCGTAATGTAACTGGAGAAGAATTTTTCTATAGTATCCTGAAACTTCTTTCAATTTCTGGTTTTTCTTCTTAGAATGTTTCCTATGACACACTGCTGTGAGTTGCCTTTTATTCTGTAAATCTCTTTAGTCATCTGCAGGCACTTAATAACAAATACGTGATGGGACTCTAAAGAACATATCAATCTTCTGCGAGTGTTGAAATTCCTGAATACCAATGTAAATACCATCAGATCAATCTGTGTTTTGTGTAAATGTTATGAGGCCCAGGGGTATAGGATCCTCTCCATACGGAACCTTGATTGACTATAGTTCCCCTTTTTGCAGAGACAGTCTTATGTGCAAACACCTGCATTGGCACAGAGTTCTTTTGACAGAGATATCAGCTGTGCATCAGTCCAAGTGTGGCCAATGAACATGATTGTCTAGGAGGCAGAGCCAGCTACTACATTTTTGAAGCCTCTTCAGGCTTCAGTATGTGAGTACTGAATAAATGAAGATTTTAATTTGTTGTGGGTTTTTCGGACTGTTTGGCCTTGTTCTGGAGGTTTTTCTTCCTAACGTTTCACCTGTCTCTATGGTCAGCATCTTCAGAGGACAGGATTTAGAATTCTGTCTATGTTCTGATGTGATGTGTGGGATAGTTATTTGTAGCTGTGGGATCAGCTTTTTTCCTTTTCAGGAGATTAGGTGATTATGATGATCAGGGTGTTTTTTGTTATGGGTGTATTGCTGTGATAAAGGAGGAGATGATCTGTCACTGTGGTTGATGGGTATCGTTAGCTAGTCTTTTGTGTGCAGTGATCACCGGTCCTTGTGGCTGGGTAGAGTTCATTGACCTTTTTGCAGGCTGAATTTTTCAAAAAACAACCATTGGATCCCAGCTGTGAAAGCCTTCAAGAGCACATAACTTTTCATCTTTTTTTTTAAAAAATGTAAATATATGAAATAAAATAAAATACTGGATCTGTATTAGTACTAGATACAACTATTGGCACAAGGTGCAGTATTCACACCTATTTCCCAAACACAGGCAGATACAAAGATGCCTTATACCAGTACAGTAGTACCTCAGTTTACGAATTTAATGCGTTCTCCAGGATGTTATGTAATGCAAAAAATTCATAAACCGAAACACAGTTTGCCATAGGAACGGGGGCGGTGCTATAAACCTCTAGGCACAATGCATCCTGGGGAAACTTCCTTCGTATTGCCGAAAAAAATAATAAACCGGGGCATTATTTTCAATGGATTTCCATTCATAAAACGAAAATTACGTTAACCAAGGCATACTACTGTACCTTGCTTGTAGGCTTCCCCCAAAGCCTGCGTTTGGCTACTGTGGGAAACAGGATGGTCTGGCTAGAGACAGATGGTCCTTGAGATGATTCACTAAGGTGTACCCCCACACTTCTCAGATCAGACTATTTGTTCACCTAGCCTAGTTTGGAAAAGTTGACCTGTACACTGCAACTCCCAGAATTTTTTAAAATGTTAGCTGTGTGATTCTGGGAACTACAGTCCAAAAAAAGAGGAAAATTTCTAAGTACTGACCTAACCTGGTACAGGTTTTTGCTAATCACAGGGGCTCTTTAGGGTCTGAAGCAGAGATCCTCCCATTACTTCCTACATGATCTGTTTAACTGGAGATGCAAGAATAGAAGAATATGGGAATTCCTACATTCAAAAGATATTTACCACTCAGCTATAGCCCCTCCCCTTCAGTACATGAGCTGCAAATTATCTGCTACTAATACTAACATACGTAATGTAATTCGCTACCAATCTTCAGTGTAATCCTTCAACTAATATAGGTACATAGGAACAGAAGCTAGAAAACTGTAACTAGTACTGTATTTAGTTCCAAGTGATCTGGGAGAATGTCACTGAAACGTTTTCAAATTTGGCTCCCAGATTTGGCTTGCAGCTCCCTCCCTAGCTGTAGACTCAGCCTTTTACAACCAGAGGGAAATAGAAACACACGTTTAAAAAAAAACAATAACAATAACATTGAACTGAAATATACAAAACGAAGATTGTCCTGTAAAATATAGGGTGGGGGCACCATCCTTACCTTCCCGGTTCAAAATCCATGGCAGAGATGCGAGGTCTGATTCATACCCGCAAGTGCTGTCTTCAAAGGCACACGAGCCCTTGGGGAGTTCAAGACCCGCTCCAGCTAACTGCAAAGCTAACAAGAGAAGACAAAGCGAGCTCTCAGTTCAGACCAACGGGCCGAAAGAGACGGGCATGGAGGGAACCGTGTCAACTAATCTGCTCTTGAGGAAAGCCGGCGCTGCCCTCCGCGGGTTCACGCAGAAAAACAGGCTTTCCACAGAGGGATGGGACCTGTTGCCAAGACACAAAAGGGAGAGGGGGAAGCCGGGGACACCGCACAGCCCACAGCTGCAGGACATGGGGGACATTTTTCCTTCCCTCGGCCCCCCACCCACCCGG